GCGGGCCGCCCTCGGACCCGAGCCCGGCTCCGCCGCTGTCGGGAGATCCCGCGGCCGGCTCGGAGGACGGCGCGCGCCTCCGCGCTGTGTTCGACGCCCTGGACGGGGACGGGGACGGCTTCGTCCGCATAGAAGACTTCGTCCAATTCGCCACGGTCTACGGGGCGGAGCAGGTAACGGGCTGGCGGGGAAGCGTGGGCTCGGGGGATGTTTGCGGGAAGAGAGTCTGCGCGGGGAAGCCGGGTCACCCTCCGCTGGCGCCGCACCTGCTACGGCTTCTGGATAGAGGTAAAGAAGGGACCCTCTGCGGTCCTAGTGAGGACGCAGAGGCCGGACTGGTAGACGCCTGTTTTGGGCATGGTCACTTTACCGTGCATCCTCGACGTTTGTTGTAGTAGATTTCTTCTTATTTGGGAGACGCTTCCATGCCTTCCATGACAAGGATGGGGAAGAAAATGAGCCGGGGTGTCCCATGACACTTGCGACTCTAGCGGAACTCCTATCAGGGCCCCCTCCACTCCTGTCTGAAAGGTGAGCCGCGCAGCCAGCGACGGAGGCACCGTAGGCACCGTGAGTCCCACTCTGCCCGAGGCTGCTGGGGAAACTGACCAGGAGACCCCGACCTTCCTGTTGCCCTCAGGACTCACTAGAGTCTTGGTGTAGGCGACAGCGGAGCTGTGAGTGCTCGATTTATAACCCTGAAGACATCGAATAGGTTACCATGTTCACTTTGAAGTATTTTAGTGGTAGGAAATCCCTGAAATGGTGAACTGCTGATTTTCATACGTTGTTCGTTTCTCACACGCAAGCAGACATTTGTTAAGTGGGTGTTCAAGTACATATGCATGTTTGAGCCAAGAAGTCTTTGAGACAAAAGGTATAATTGACGCTCTGCTGTTCAGGGTGTCAATCACAACATTTAGAACCCTTGTGAAGAACCTCCTTGTCCCCTGAATATGTATAGTATGCATTGAGCAGTTGGTGTGAAGAACCAGATTCCAGTAATTCAGTGCTCCCTGCTGAGTTTATGCCTAGAAAGATGTATAAGTGCCTGCAGCTTCCTGGACATCAGTGTTCAGGCAAATAGGGCTCCCATTCTTAGCTCTGGGCTGGAAGAGATCGTTGGGGTAGGTTCAGTGGGAAACACCTATGTGCCTGATGATTTCCTGTATGATTAACTTGGGTTGTAGCTGCTGGTCCAGGCTCTTTTTATGTTTTTCCTTCTTACTGCTGGGGTGAAGAGTCCCTTGAGTATCTTTAATGGTAGCTTACTAGTGGGATGTGTTTTCTCTGCAAACTTTTGCTTTATTACACCAGATAGATATGTCAGGCCGGTGCTACATTTATGCTCTTCTTTACCATAACCTGACTCTGCTCACTTGTGTTTTCACTGACTCATTGCCACTGTTCTCTGAGGTGGGAACTAGGCAAGCAGGTTTCATCCCCACTTTACAGGAAGCTCAAAAAGATTAAATGGCTTTCTTTGGGCTCCATAGGTAAGGATAGAGGTAGGTCTTCGGCTCCTCACTTGGAGTTGACTCCTTTTAGATGTGTGGCTTAGAATATTCCTGCCAAGTTTCATTTTTTGACTTCCACAAAACTCTCTTTGAGGAACATATCTTATTATAATGTCCCCAGTTGATCACAGTGGGAAAAACTTTAGATTGATTTTTGAGGCTGAGCTTTCTTGTAATCACAAAATAGAAATAGGTCAAAAGCTGGAGATGGTTGTGCATGTCTGTAATCCCAGCACTTGGGAAGCTGAGTGAGGATGATCACCCAGAGTTCAAGGCCAACCTGGGCTCTACATACTGAGTTCAAGGTCAGCTTGAACTACACAGTGAGACCTGGTTGCCAAGCAAACAAACAAACAAACCAAAACCCAAAAACCAAAACACCAACAAAATGGAAATGCATCAAAATTGTTTGCTCTGATGGCTCCTGGTGGGTTTAAAGTTTAGGCGAGGCTCAGATGACTCAGGGTTTAGTGGGAATGGAGTGTGGGGAGATGTCCTATAGCATGTCCTATAGCACTACTTCTTACTCCTTAGGAAGCAGCAGTGTTGAGTGCTGATCTGGGTGCTTGGGCTTGGACTAGCTTCTGGTGAGAGTGGAGGAGAGCTCTTGATTTCTTTGAACTGTCTTAGCTACTATTTTGGAGGAGATAATATACAGAGTAATGACAGGTTGGTTTTTTTGTGTCTGTAAGTTTTGATATGAATGACTCAGGCTTGTTTTCTCCAAGTCCAAGTGAGAGTACAGTATAGAGAAGAGGACAAGAAATATTTGCTGACAATCAAATAGTTTAAACTGAAATATTCTGGCCCTTGTTGAATATTTTAAAACTTTTAAAATATGCGGGCTGGGGGCTGGGGACTTAGCTCAGCGGCAAAAGCGCCTGCCTGGCAAGCGCAAGGTTGTGAGTTCGGTTCCCGGTACCGGA